AAAACTGAACGCCTTTACGGCAAGTAATTTACTAATCACATTTGGCGTACAGTGACAACACACCTTTGAAAGTAGAAATGCCTAGGCATGTGTGCTGGTGGAGACGGGTGGTGATTTTTGGCAAAGGACCTTCGGCACTCCCACTTTGCTGCGGAAGCTGCAGTTTTTGAGGTTTTTGATTTTGGTGTGTTGTTGTGACGTAGAACCCATCGATGCGGGTGTTAGGGCGGGTGGGTTCGGTAGGCCCACCCCAACAATGTCAGATCCCCGGTCTCTGCTTGTGCGAAATAATTCGGTTTGAGCCGGTGTTTCTATATTAGAAGCATCATAAAGAGCTATAAAATCCAAACACCTCGGTAGGTATAGGTTTGTCTCCCTACCAAACATTTCAAATTTGTTGGAAATTTATTAGCACTACTCTTAAATTTGCATCATTTGTATCATCTGCTTATTTCAAGAATCGTTTCTTCATTGAGTTTTTTCTAACTAAAATTGCATTTGGAATAGAAACTGCAGAACAGTGTAAGATGAGCGCACGAGCTGAAAAGAAAATGTGACGCGATTGAGGCGGATACGTTTACATCTTCAATAGAGTAGTTATCTGTAACGAAGCCCAAACTGTGAACGCAACACGACGCTGCATTCACTGTGGAAATGTCTTTGTAAATTTAAACCACATTTTGTATTTACGATTTACAAAATATATTGTAACAATGGCTCATTCTTTCGCGTCAATGAATTCCAAGCCGATCCCTGGTAAGCTTGTAACTTTACAATGTGCACTGATAATTTTACAACAAACATCATGGAAACATTTCCTGTATTCCTTCCTTGTATAAAAGTATATTGCTGACGGAATTATCAATTATAGAGAACTACTCCATTAAATATTTCAGCGGTACTTTTACCGGTTATATAGTGTAAACACAAATAAAAGACGATTTATATTAAAAATATAACTATCATAGAACACTGTAGGCCTACTTACTTGTAGAAATGACGGGAATGTCACAAATCCAATGAACGTGCCTCGAACGCCAATGGGTCTGTTTGCTCGACATAGTATTAAACACAACTTAAGACGCAAGTGCGTGGGCATGTTCTCCCAGCCACTAGTATACACGGCAGTGTGCATATCATCGTTCTGAAAAGGGTAGAAGAAAAAAAAAACTTCATGTGGGCAGTTCAACTCTACACCGGGTCGGATGTCCCCTCCAATGAAACTTGAAACCCATCACCCATCATTTCAGATTTTGCTGTTTTTGATGCTGCCTGAGTTTTCCTTAATGTAATTTGGAAGTTAAGTAATGCATTAAATACA